CGGCATAGACCTGACAAGTTGTGTGGATGCAGGGACTGGGCGAAAAAAGTGTTGAATCGGTTTTGGAAATTAAGCTGTATGATGACACACGAAACACGCCTCCCCGACCCACTGGCACCACTGTGCGACGAAGTCCTCCAAGGCATCGGCCACAGCCGATCTGGAAGGTGGTCTGGTGGTCTTCAACCACTGGACCCACCACCCTGGCCTCGCAAACATGCACTATGCATCTGTGATCATCTGAGCACCTGAGGTACCGAGGCAAAGGCGTCCAGCGCTCGTGGTGTGTAGCTCTTGTCAGAGCTCCGCTTTTGCTTGCAAAAAGCTGGTCACACCGTCACACCTGCGCACGAACCATCCTTTCCTACCGTCATCAAAGCACACAACTCGGACACCTGGCCCTCCATATTCGGCTTTGGCCGTCCCACATGGCATCCAGCATCTTGCCACAGCAGCTGCTCGAGCGCCATCTCGAAAGTCCAAAAGATTTTGAAAGTCGTTGTAAGGGCCGTACACAATCAGCGGGCAAAGGATGAAGAGGACGAGGAGCATCAGGTGGAGCATCTGATGCCGTGAGCAATCGGATTCGGCCCGGCCTCGTGGGTGATCAATTAAAGAAACTACCCACAACACACGCCCACTACAGCTGGACACTGAGATGCGGGCATGGCCGCAAATCGCAGCAAGCGAAATGTAAAAGGTTCGGTGCTCGAAGTCGTGATGTGTGTAAGTTGGCTCTGATGGGTGAATGAGTTTGTGCGAACGGACTCTTCAACGATCTTCAAAGGCTCGATTTAGTAATTTAGTCTCCCCGGATGGTGACCGTTCGTGTCTTGTTAATCTGTTTCTGCACATGCATGCAATACGAAGTTTTGAGCACATGACTTGGGCCACTGGCCCTTGCAATGCAAGCAAATGGAATGCAAGCATCACTTTCATCCCCCCCCCCCCCACCGCNNCCCCCCCCCCTCAACATGGTATGGGGGCAGAACCCAGAAACTGTAAAAATAAGTGTGTTGCATGTATGCCCCCCCCTCCCCCCCGCCCCCCAGGTTTTACATTTTTTAGGCTTCAGCCAGCTAGAGGCTTGAGTTTTCCACTCCTTGGTAGGATCACGCTGCTTAGTGGCAAGCAGCTCATTCAGGCCGGCATGCCAGCTAGCAGCACAAGCATACCAATCTCCAGCACCTGCCTCCTCAGACGCTCCCAACAGTCGACAGCTGCTTGTCAGACTTCGAATCAATTCTGGACTGGGTCCCTCCTCGCTCTAACTGCACGGCAGATCTCGTCAGCCCTTCTAAGAGCCCTGCGAAACTGTGTTTCCTAATGTTTTGGCCTGGGCCATGCGTGGATTGGCCAGACCGAACAGCCGGCTGAGTCCCTCTGGGCCCCGAGTTCAATAAGCAACGGTTTAGGCGTGCTTGTGGCCTCCACGCTTCTTTCCTCCTCCTGCACCGCTTCTTCCTCCGCCATCCTTCCGATCTTTGCGATGCATGTCGCGCTCCTGAACCACTTGCAAAACACCCTCAGGCATCAATCGACAAACTATCGGACCTGGGACGTGGAGCATTTGATGGAGGGACCGAAGCTCTGGGTGGCCCCTTCGGACCACCAAAGCCCACCCCATCAGCACGGCAACTCGCCATGCCCGCGCTGCTTTGCCAGCATCCGCCGAACACTCGGACCCTTCGTGGGAGCGAACAAATATGTTATATATTACAGCAAACTCAGCAGCTTAGCAATCCAATGCCGTGTGCCGACGACGTGCCTGCGTCCCCATCCCTCACAGCAGTCTCCAAAAAATCGATGTCCTTGTGCTCGCCAACCCTAAAACCCTCAACCGTAAAACCCTAGACCCTAAACTTGCCCTAAACCCTTAAACCCTAAACCCTGAACTCTGCTGAGCCCTGCCAAGGAGCCCAGGACGGGCGCCCAGAGTCCTGGCGAAGCGAAGTGGAGGGACGAGGGTTTCTGGTTTTCTGAGTTCCTTACGGTTTAGAGTTTTAGAGTTTAGGGTTCAGGGTTTAGGGTTTATGATGGGTTCAGGGTTTCAGGGTTCAGGGTTTAAGGCCTTAGTAGGATTCAGGGTTGAGGGCTTGGGGGTTTTAGCAGTGTTTAGGGTTGAGTTTGGGAAGGGGAGGCAGCTTGTTGCACAACGGATTAACATACCGGAAAAGTCCTCCGTGCATAACGAGGTGCACGATCTCCTCACAACCATCCGCCTCCGCGAGTGTCCGATGGGTTTTTTCCATTTGTGATTCCAGTATCAGTTTTGCAGCATAAACCTGAGGACACGTCTTGGGCATAAGCCGACAGTCTGCGAAACAAGGCGAAGCCATCCAAGAACCATAAAGGGAATCTGAGCACCTCTGAAGATCCTCTCGCCTAGCGAAGCGAAACCCTGGCGATACCTTGAATATGCCACAAACCAAAGGAAGTTACACTAAAGCCCCAAAAAGGGTTAACCCAGAACCCCCAAGAAGCTCGCTTTGCACCCCTTCAGAAGTGCAACGAGCTGTAAGCACAAGGGCCTGGAGCCCTGAACCCACAACCCTACAACCCACAAGCCGCAACACACAACCCTGAACCCTAAAGCCCTAAACCCTAAACCCTAAACCCTAAACCCTACAGTAAAGCCCTAAAGCCTAAACCCTAAACCCTAAAGCCCTAAAGCCCTAAAGCCCTAAACCCGAAACTGGTTAAAGGGACCACCGGCCTCGCTCGGAAGCAGGCGCAGGGCTTCACGGCCCATCCTTGACACCGTGATCTGCACCTCTCTTTTAGGGGTGTATAGGGGTTCTTATAGGGCTTTAAAGGGCTTTATCGTCTCTTTTAGGGGTGTATTTCGGGTCCTTATAGTGCTTTTAAAGGGCTTTCAACGAACTTACAAGTTGTTCTAAGGCTTCTTGGACGGTATTAAACAGCTTTGTGGGTTTTATGAGATTGCTGAAAGGATTTGAAAGGCTTCAGAAGTTTGAGATGCTTTCCCTGAAGGGTTTCTCCAAGCATTGGGAATTAAGGGCCCCAGCCCCAGGGTTCTCAAAAAGAAGGATCCCAGTAGTCGGGTTCTCAAGTTGGGGTCTCCGAAAGGTGGCTCTCAGGGGTGCTTCGAACTTGCTGATTTGAAGTATTTGAGGGTGCCAGGGTTCGGGAAGCGAACACGGCCATTTCGGGAATCCCGTCACAGGGTCTTCGCCGGCAGCTCGCTACAGACTGCACAGGCAGTGCACTTGTGATTGGCATTGCAAAAACCCCATGGAGCCTTGAAGATTCTTGCCAAGATCTGCAGGTCCACGTAGTCCAGAGGAACTCGTACAATGCAGGGGTAGGACAAGTCCTTTGGGATTCGGTGACATGTTTCGAGACGGTGGTCGAAATCTGGAAACAGACTGAGGGGTTAAACCCTAAACCCTAAAGCCTGGAGGCACTCGAGCCTGAGCCCTCTGTTTGCCAAGCTGCTCTCAAGACCGCTGCAGTGCATGTCAGGAACAACCACACATTGTCAGACGAGCAGAAGCAATATAACAGAATGCCGCCGACCCTGCTTCATCGGACCCTTGTTTTTGCTCACGCACCCTTTCGCGGCCCCATGCCAAATGCATGTTTTTAGGGTTTTCATGGTTCTTACCACATATTCTCGGTCTTTTCAGTGCTGCCTGCTTCCAAATCGGGGTGGGGGGGTGGGGGGAGGGGTGGGGGGATGATGATATGCATTGTAGCCTCTCAGGCTTTCAGGGCAGATGCCGGCAAGTCAGAGCAAGCGTTGCTTGCTCTGCGGACGCCATGGACACAACCTGCGGACTTGTGGTTTAGGTCGACGGAGGTCTGTGCTTGGCAAGAAAGGATATTGAGTGCATGCGCGTATTCCCACTTGCATGGCAGTGCATGCAGCTGCTTCGCTTTCAGCATCGCCAACCTGTCAGCCCAACCTCTAAAACCCTACTTGGAGGTTCATGGGACTTAGTAAGTTTATTGGGGTTATAAACAATTCTACGTCTAGTTACCTGACTTCTAGCTCCAATTACTAAGTCCCATGAACCTCTAAGTAAACCCTAAAGCTTAAACCCTCGAACCTTAATCCCTAAACCCTCACACATGCAAAATCCCTGGGGAACGTAGCCTTCTCGGACACAGTTTAGCTCGAAGCGAACCAACTACTACAACTATCAGTAGTAAAAATAGTAGTAGTAGTAGTAGTAGTAGTAGTAGTAGTAGTGCTGCTGCTACTATTACTACTACTACTACTACTACTACTACTACTACTAGTAGTAGTAGTAGTAGTAGTAGTAGTAGTTCCTGCATGAACCTCAAGGATAACTTGGCAAAACAACGCACGAATTGTAAAAAAACATCGTCCAAACCATACATGTGCGAACCTTCGAAAACACTGGCAGGCGTGTCACTTTTGTTACTACAAGAGTGTGCGCGTGTTTTCAAATCAAGAAAAAAGACACATCTGTAAAACGCATTTATCACTAAGAATGCTGGTATTCGTGGGATAAATGCACGATTTGGCGTGCAAAATCCACGGGGCCGCCAGCGGCGGCGTGACCTTGTTTTTCCGCCGGGCCGTGCGGGACCTCGCACGGGGGCCTCTTCGGAACATGCACGCGTTTCGCAGCCATTCTCCACGGCGTGGCGGGTTTTGGCACCCGGGCGTTCCCAACCGGCCCTGCAACGCGAGGCGATGTTTTGCAACTTTTTGAATGGTTTGCGCAAGCCCCCAAAGGCCGCGCATCATCAGCATCAGCGGGGTTCGGCGGAGAGGGGGGTGCGTGGCCTTGCTCCAGGCTTCTACCTGCGCTGCCCGCACGTGGGCGCAGCCCCTAGAACAATACTTAGTATATAGTGTATGATATGAAGATATTTAGTTTTTATATATATATATATAGTACATAAGATATATGGCAGCAACATGAAGAAGCAGAAGCATGGGTTTCCTCGGGCAGGCATGGCATTGATATGTTTCTCGATATGCTTCGCTCTTCAGTCCCAGGTGCAGGATACTTGTCCCAATGGAGACCATTTGAGGTGAACTCACGACTTTCGAAGGTCAGACAGTAGAGGTACCACTTCCAGTGCTCCAGCACCTGTCAGCGAGGTGGCTCTGCCAGAACTCGAAGTCGAAACGCTGGCTATACTATATACTACATACTATATGCTATATACTATTTACTATATTTTTCTACTACATGCTTTCTGCTATACACTATATATTCTATGCTGTATAATTACCACATGTTTGGTATTTACGATACACGATCTACGATCTGCGATATGCGATATACGATACTGTACACGATGTATGATATACTATGTACTGTATACTACAAAGGTACTTTGTAGTAGGTTCGCAAAAAAGCATGTGGAAGTAGCAGCCAGGCGCTTCAGTCGCGTTTGGAAAGTGCCCGAGCTGGAAGATGGACAGCTCGTCCTGTTCTCAACACAGATCACGAGTTAGGTCTGAGGGTTTGAGGGTTGAGGGTTTAGGGTTTAGGGGGTACGAATGTCGGACTATGAAAACCCCCTCTGTAAACCTAAAACCCTTAGCCGTCTCCTTGAGCTTCGCCTCCGCCACTACCCGCAGCACAGCTTCAGGCATCTCCTGCAGTGGCATGTTAGGGGCTTACGATTTCAGGGTTTAGGGTGGGCCCCAACGTTTAGGTTTTAGGTTTGTTTAAGGTTCAGCAGCACGAAAAAAACAGCTTGGACAACAGCTCCTTGTAGGCATGGACCAGCGATTTTCGGAGGTCCGCCTCGGTGATGGGATCCTTGGCAGTGCGCTGTCTGTGGTTGGGGTATAACCTTCTGGAACTGACATCCGGGCTCTGCGAGGGAGGAGCTTTGGGAAAGGAAGCTGCAGCCGCGGCCAGACGAAGACGAGCGAACCCTAAACCCTAAACAGCTAATCCGAAACCGACGACATCGCTGCACCGAGCTGCAAGGAGCCCGGAGCCTCTCCCGAAAGCTACCTGGCCGTACTAGTACCTTCTCAAGACTTCCTTTTGAGGCCCAAGTTCGAACTCCAGGTCTGTGCCCTCGGAGTGAGCCTCCCGCCAGCGCCGCCGCCGGGACTCCTACGGAGCTTCGGCTTTTTGTGGGACCGTTTTTCAGAAGCAAACCATCTGCATGGCTTTCTTCACCCTCCATGAAACTCCAAACTCCCTCCCTTCCAGAGCCTCCAGTGCCCGGGTCAGCGATTGCCAGGGGCAGCCTGCCTTGGCACGTGAAAGAAGCTTCGCTGGCTCCTCAACGTGCAGCTTCGGAGGGTGCTTTGAGAAAGCATGCACCAGGAATAACGCACCCGTTTTTCCGAACCTGAAGACAGCAAAACTGGATGCACGACCACGAGAACCACGGAAGCCGAGTTTCCAGAGAGGGGGCCCTGCAGACACCGGCGAGACGAGAGAAACGCAAAGACTCCACTCGATGCAATCCAGGCCACCGGGGCTGTGTCGCGCACCTCGCGCAGGAAGGCATTGGAGATCCAACGCTTCAGCAGGTCGAAAGCGACCTAGGAAGTAGGAACCCTAAACTTTAGGGTTTGGGGTTTAGGGTTTAGGACCCTGAACCCTAAACCCTAAAGCCTAAGGAGGCAATCGGGAGCTCGAGCTTCCGGGAAGCGGCTCTTGCACAGAGCTGTCCTACTCGCAGGCTTCTGCCTCCGCAAGAGAAGAAGCATAGAGGATCCCGATGCCTAGAGTCCCCGGCTCGCCCATGTTTCATGCCACATGCTTCATGCAGGTTAGGATCCCCAGGCGAATAATCATGTAGGGGCCTTAATGATTACAATAGGGCTTTGAGTCCATTTTACTATAACTAGAATAAGGAATCCCCAAAAATAGTATTGGTAATTATTTCGGCCCCATATATTGCACCGCATCTCAGAAACCGAGTTAGCAAATACCAACTTCCTCTGCAGGAACACGGCTCAACAACTGCTGCAATCCCCGGCACCCGGTCGCCGCCACTGCGGGAGCGCAGCAATGCCAAATCCATCCTTCTATTCTAGCATATGATAGTATATCAAAATGTATTATAGTGACAGTATCTGAATTTATAGTATATTATTCACTGCGCAGCAGGCGAAGCGCAGGTCCGCCGTCGAAGCGCCATGGCACTTGACTTCAGCTTCGAGCTGCGAGGTCTCAGAGCCTTCTTGCACCCCCCGGGCAGGCTCCAAGAAACGTCTTGGTGGGACTGAGGTTCGAGGAAGAGCTGTGGGCCTTGGGTTTGCATCCTGGGTCGGGCCATGGGTTAAAAGAAGCGGCCAACGTTCCAGGGCATGGCACCCCAAGTCATTGATTTGGGTGCTGCGGTGGTTGCAAGTGCTTGGCGGTGGTTTCCGATGTGCATTCTGGTGTGAATGGAGAGCCAAACAGAGCGGCGGCGCCCCTTCAAAAACCTCGAAAGCCTCAGCCACCCTCAAAACCCAAACTGAAGGCCTTTCGAGCCTTTGCCTAACCCTCCCAGCTGAAAGCCGAGGACGCAGCCAGCAAATGCGGCCTGAACTGCTGGATTGCCTTGGTTTGGGGTTCAGGGTTTAGGGTAGGAGGATGCAGAAAATTTGGGATCGGCGTTTTCACAATCCGGGAACTGGTCCAACCAACTTCCGCCAATCAAGTCAAGCTTGAACCAGCCCACTTCCAGCTAAGTGAGCTCTGGCAGATCACGTCCTTGAGTTGCCTCTAAGTTGCCTCGAGCACCATGTAGTTCTTGTTGGCCACACGGTGCTCGTAGCCTGACACTTACTGGAGCAAGCTCACTCACCGAGCCGACTTTCTAACATGCAATGCTCCAGCACAGGACACTGCATGGAGACCTGAACCTCGCAGTAGACCCACAGGACGGACGATTTTCAAATCAAGTCCTGCCTAGGGAAGCACAGATGGCAGCAGCGTCGGCGCAGCAGGGCACAGCTGGCTGGTCGTTCGGCGTCAGCACCAGCACCTCTACTCAGAGAACAAGCACCCTACTGGGCTCACCGTTCCACGACTTCGGTGACCGAGCCTGGCTTAGCCTTTCTCGCCTAAACCCCCAAGTCCAGGAAGGGGGGTGGGGGTTTAGGGTTTAGGAGTCAGGGTGAGGCAGCAAGGTGCTTCTGTCGGGTTTTCCAAACCACATTTTGAGTCGCACCCTGCAGAACCTTCCAGCAAATCTCAACCTTTGAAACCTCCGAAAACACAGAGGTTTAGGGGCTTAGGGGCTTAGGGGCTTAGGGGTGTCGGGATTTCAGGATGCGACCCGGCCTCGATGGGTTGCGACCTTCGAGCCTGTGGAATTTGGTTCTCGTTTCGGGTTTAGGGCTTAGGGTTTGGATTTTGAGTTTGCACTTCTCCACTCAAGCGTTTGGCCTCTGGACTCTCTGACTAAACTCGTGTGCACAAATCTTATCATAGGAGGTGAGTCTAAGCGATGACATAATTCCTCCATCTTCGGATTCTGATCGATCAGAGAACTGAGGGATGCCTCGCCGCAGCGAGACTCTCCGAGCGATCATGACCCACGATGTGGGAGTTAGGATTAGGGGGACCCTTGGGGATATAGACCCTCTCAATAAGGTCCCCCTTAATAGAGTCACAAGTAGGGTTCAGAAGGGTCCCCATTAAGAGGTCTCCCTGATACTACCTAGGACTATGCTATACCCCCACAAACTTGGATGTTGCTGTGGGGTCAGAGTTCTGGGGTTTAGTGTCAAGAGCAACAGGGTTAGCAGCAGTGGAATTCAACAGCTGAGAAGCTCAGGGAATATGAAGAAGTCTTGAACCCAGAGAACCCAACACCCCTTGATTGAGGAATATACCTTAAATCATAATATTAAGGCCCCTATAATTTAAGGCATATTCCTTAATTAAGGTATGGGTTCTCTGGGAAGACATCCCGAAGACACATGTCTGTCAGAAGGGCTTGGACCTTGGGGGGGCTTCGGGTTTATCTCTCCCTCTCAGCGACCCAGAGATTCCCTAATGCAGGGCCCTTGAAGGTTAGAGAAGGGGCTTTGGGGCACAATGAACTATACTTTTCATAAGGGGCCCTAAGGCTAAGGAAGAATCCTGGTACTTCTTCCGACCCCTGAATCACAAGTGCTCCCTTCACCCGGGACCAGGCCGCCCCTCACTCGGAGACGTGCCTGCACAAGCTGGTACAGCGCGAAGTTCAGGGCATCTTTCTGGCCCAAGAGTGCCTCATTCTCAGGGGTAAGCCCAACTCACGCTACGGGGTAGAGAGCAAAGTTTAGGGATGGGATTGGCAGGCAAAGGCCACACAAGCACTACTAGAAGATTAGAACAGGATCCTATCTCAGGCCCGTGAAAGTGGATCTCTCAAGCCTGCGTTCCTACTCGAGTCACGAGCTTTAGGGAAAAGACTTGCGCAACAGGGTGTTCGGCCAAACCATCAGTGTGATGAAGGAAGGCTTCAGAAAGTCAGAAGTCGATTCTCCGAAACGCCTCTGCCTAGCCCCGAGGATGCCATTGCGCATGGTGCTGGAAAACTAGCGAGACTGAGATCTTGCATGTCGAGCCGGCACAAGACAGCTGCGCTTACTCCAAGATCTCCAAAGCTTCCGCGCTGGATGGAGGAATCAAGGCACAAGTACATGAGCTTGGCCGCCGAGTCACGATTCGCGGTGTCTCCTTGCCGAAAGGCTCGGCATCAGCCACCATGGTCGTAAGCGGCGGCACTTGGCCAGACAACGGCTCCGCGGTCTCTTTAAATCACGAACATGCTGGGATTGCGGCTACTACAAGCAAGTCACGGTGGAATTTTGATGCCGAATTCATCCTCTCTGAACCGCAGAATCACACCTCACGGACCGAAGCAGAAATCCACATTCAGGCATGTCGGGTTCTTTGTTTTAAGGGCTTAGGGGTTTAGGGTTTAGGGTTTCGCGCTCAGTGGTTTAGGGTTTGGGGTTTCACGGCGCGGTGATGTGTTTTGGAGCCTGTAGGCTGCCGTCCGCGAACTTTTGGGGGTTTGTGCCGCGCCTTCGTGCAAGCTGTGCAAACACGTGGATCAGCGATGTGCAGCATACTCACCGACGGGAGTTCTGTAAAACTCTGCTCCCAGACCTGGGTTTGGGGTGAAAACCCTAAACCCTAGACCGTGAAACCACCCAGCCCAAGACTCAGGGCTCGGAACCCTGGTGTGCAAGCCCAGCTCTGCGATGCCGCCCCTTCCTCGAAGCCTTTTGGCCGCCGGACCTCTTGAAGGTTCAATGCCAAACAAGCGGGTCTCCCAGCCCCCGGAGCCTTCTGGTAGGGTTCAGGAGTTCCAGGTTAGGGCTTAGGATGGAGTATCCAGTCGAGGGGCCGTGAGGGCTGGGAGTCCGAATTCCATGCGCGGTGACTCACCCACATGCGGTCTCGGAGGGACGCCTCCCGAAACACCGCTGGCTACTAGAAACCCCAGACCCTTTTAGTAGGAGACCTAAGATAGAACCTTACGGCAACGCTTGTTACAAAAAAAAACTTATGGTGACCTTTACAATAGCCTTGATTGTGAAGCCTCAAAGCAACCCTTGCCTAGCAACCCTTACAGTCACCCTCAGAGTAAACGTTATAATCACCTTGCCTTAGTGTCCAACTCATCTCCTCCGAGACTCTGACCACAAAGGTCTTGGCACAGGGGTCCTCCCCACACCTCTCGTGAGGACATCGGGGAACGTCGTCTCGCGAATTAGGGTTCGGGGCTTGGGGGTTCGACTTTTGGGGTTTCGGGGAATTCCTATGGAAAAGGCTGCTCATGGGCGCGGCTCGTTAACGTCTGAGAGCGGATTCATCCGCTCTCCTGGCCCAAACCGGCTAGGCTGCTGCACATCTCGGGTACCTCATCCCTTCACAACACCGAGCCACCAGCTCGCACCGAAGAAGGGTCGCCAGAAAGAACGAGGGGTCTTAATGATTACAATCGGGTTTGGTGGTATTCTAAAAATACTACAACTGCACAATAAGGAACCCTAAGCAACGAGATTGCTCGTTGTTAAGGCTTTCTATAATCCATCATCATTAGAGCCCGCGTCTTGAAACTCCCCGTCTGCGACTTGCAAAGCTGTTTCGACGACGCATCTGAGGCCTAGACTTAGACCCAAACCCCTCAACCCCAGCGGCTCCAGAATAAACGCTCTAAACCGCAACACCCCAAGCCTTCATACCCCAAACCCTATATCCTAAACCCTTTCCATCCTCTACCTACACTGGACCTACACCCTCTCAAGACCCCCCTAAACCCTAAACCCTAAACCCTACAAGCTCTGTGATTCCGTGGTGTGCAGCTTTAGGCTCAGGGCGCACTCCCCCGGCGGCTCTTCTGCCGGTCGCTGAAGAGCCGCTCACTCTCTTCCGCATCCGGGCCCTGACTCAGGGGGTTTAGGGCTATGGTTTAGGGTTTCAGGGGGTTTAGGGTTTAGGTCTTAGGGAGTTGAGGGCTCCCTTCCTAAGGATGTTTCTAAGGGTGGCTCTACATCAGGGTTACCGTATACGGCGTAACTATAAGGGTTCGGGATTTAGGGCCTGTTTTGGGGCTTTTTAGGATTTAAGGCTCACGTTGGGGTTCATGGTTTATCGTTTGCTTTCGGCTTTGGGGCTTGTAACTTTATGGGCTCTCTGTGGGCCAGAAAGACGCTTTGCTGCGCCCGAGTTTCGACTCAAATCGAAGTTGACTAGAACCCTAAACCCTAAAGCCCTCCGATATCATCCGGGTCGCTGGGAAGGCTTGCTTGCTCACGGGCTGTTCGCGCGGGGCTGCGGGGTCCAATCTACTACGACATCTGACACGGCAAAACGAATCGGGAACCCTCTTCTGAGCATTAAGGCCTAAACCCTAAACCCTACCCCCCAAGTCCTAAACCCTAAACCCTAGCCCCTAAACCCTAAACACCAAACCCAGGCGTTGGCTCCCAGGTGCCGTGTAGTTTCCCTTTGAGGTCCACGGTTTCCTCGAGCCATCCCAGCGCGGCAATCTCTGCCCGCGATATCCTCCAGGCGTTCGCTGCCCTAGGCCGACCGCTCTGGAGCCAACCTTCCACGACACTTAGCATTCGCTGCCTTTAAGTAGGCCGACTGCGGTGGTCAATTTTGGTGCATGGTAAGGCTGCTCACAGTTTTGGTTCTGGTTGTTTGCTGGACGAGCTGTGGCGAGATCTCTGCCAAAGGCGACGAAGGAGCCTGCGTGGCATCGTCGCCTTCGGCGCGAGCGCACCAGGGCACGCACACTGCTGAGAGCCGTTTCGTCAGGCTGGGTGCGGCCCGCGAGACAGGTGATACAACAAGCCAAGCTATTGCTGGCCAGGCATCACTCCTTTTCCGCAGGTTCGGAAAGCATGGCGGCGAAGGAACCCTGGCGCTGCTCCTGTGGAGCTATGGTGAAGTATTCGGCCAAGTATTGTGGTCAGTGTGGAAGCAGCTGGACGTACACGGCGCCCACGCATGCCACACCTTGGCAGCAGAGATCAGAAGGAGCGTGGGCCAAACAAGCCCCCTCACCGAGGCGCAGGAAATCGCCAAGACGGCCGGCCAGCAAAGGAGCCGGCAAGAATCGGGATCCAGGGGGGCAACATCCCTGGAATCCCAAAGGATCTGGCAAGAGCCAGACCAAGGCGGAGGGCAAGCCGGGCGAGGGGAAGGGAAAACCTTCCTACGCGGAGGTGGTAAGACCATCGACGGAAGCGCTGCCCAAGCCGCCAGCAACGATGAGTTTGACTACGCCGAAGCCATCAGCGCCAGCCGCATCTACGACGAGTGTGGAGCGACAGCAGTTGGAGGCCTTGATGAAGACTCTGGGTTCGATGAAAGAAACGCTACCACCCGAGACACTGGAGCTCTACGAGAAGTTTCAGCTTACCTCGGCGCAGGACAACTCAAAGGAGTTGCACAAGGCAGTCACCCTTCAGTCGACATCAAGGAAGCAGCTCATACATATCCGCACCACGAGACTGGGCTATTTGGCGGCCTGGCAAGAATATTTGGTGTCGTTGACAGATATTGTACGACAGCAAGTGCAAGAACAAGGCAAGCAGCTGGAAGCATTCGACACGGCGGAAGTCGAGTGGTCGCAAGCCTTGGAAAGAGCATCCGCGGACTTGGCCAGACTGGCCAACGGGCCGCAGTCAGCGGTCATCGACGTCGAGGAGGAGCAGCTCGGCGAAGAGGATGCCATGATCGACTCGACCATACAGACCGAGACGGAGCTGGAGGCAAGGCGTCAGCAGCATGCCACAGAAGCGCAGAAGCTGGTGACGGCTTTGGAAGAGCTCCAATCCAGCGCAGTTCAGCGTATGGAGCAAGCAGGCAAGACGAGAGAAGGGTCGAGGACACCGCGGAGAAGGAACAGCGGCAGCGGCGAGAACCTCAAGGCCAAGGACGCGGATTCAGGCAAGCCCGGAGACAAGCAACCCGGGCCAGGAGTCCCTGGCTAGGCCTGTATGTGAGCTTCATAGGATCATACAGGCCGATTGAGGACGACAGCATTGGCTGTCTTTTTCATTCCATTACATCTTCGAGCGACTTTACAAATCAGTGGTATGCGAGTTGTTTGGGTGCACAGCTTGCATTTGAGGTCGCGTTGATGCCATTTGGATTGGAGGATCAACACACATTCATGCAAGATCTACGTGGACAGGAACTTGCAGCACAGACCTTCTCATGTGACCTTCCACCGGGCCACCCTGAGCCTTCTGACCAAGACCTCTCTGCGTTGGGAGCAGCGGAGGACTTGTGTGTCAGTAGGGTCGCGGTGCCGGAGAGGATGTGTCACATGCCCTCTGAGCACGACTTTTCCGCAACGGCTGTTGGTGGGGTGCCCCCGTTGCTTGTACAAAGAAGTAGCTGCAGAAAGCAGGTGGCGGGACAGCTCTGTCGGCATCATCGTCTCGTTGCTCGTAGGGTTGGGTTTGTTGATGATGTTGACGCTGTCGGGAAGTGGCTGTTTAATGCCTGGGCAGGGCAAGTTAATGGGACAGCTTGTGCGTGGACTGACGACATCAGAGCTCGTTGTCGTCTGGAGCCACTGGCAAATAGCAATCATGTATGTGAAGTTTTGCCGCTACCACAGCCGCGGCCAGGACCAGGCAAGGCTAATGCCCATGTCCCAACCCTGTCGCAGCATGTGCGGCTCACGTCTGGAGCCTGCACTGCCACCGCCCATCATCCACAGCTACCTCGGCTTCTAGGATGCAACGAAATCAAAGGCATAGAGAATGTGCCTTGCAGCCAGAGGGGCGGTCTTCTGTCAATCCCCATGACGGATCCCTGTACCATACCTGCATCCTGTACTTCTCCCTGGGACGAGTCATGTTGGGCCTTAGGGGGATGCAGTTTTCAGGACAACAATACGACGTTACCTTGCAACCAGAGGGGCGGTTCCCTGTCGATCCCCATGGTTGGCCCCTGCACCTACACTGCTCAGAATCTCCACCAATGTGAGGCTGTTCCCCGCCGAGCCAGTGTAGACTGCAGTGATCACACCAGCTTTGCAATGCTTCCTTGCAGCCAGAGGGGCGGTTCCTTGTCGATCCCCATGGTTGGCCATCTCAGCTCACCCGTAATACACAGTATCCATCATCAGGCGGATGGAACAGGCAAAGCGTGGACTGGAGAGTGTCTTGGTCCGTTACAGGTGCCACCAGAGCCCAACACGCCACCTGCCTTGCTCGGGCGTGAAGGACCACCCAGACCCAACGAAATAAGCAAGCTCGGCCTGAATAGAGTTCAATTCCTGCCGGAGCATCTGGCCAGATACCCTGTCAGCGAGATCCCGGTGGATCAGCTCGGCATATATGCGCTGGAGCCGGGACATGCTCGCAGGCTGTTGAAGTACTCGGTGTTCGACAGACAGAGACACCACCAGCAGCGCACGGCGGCGTATGGGTGGTCACTCAATGATCTCGTGTCAGAGGCGGTGAGGTCATCTGATGAAAGGATCAAGGTTGCACAGGTGCTCACCACCACGTTGCCACAACTGGCAGTTCCACAAATAGTGCTTACCCCAGCTGAGGCTGCACCTAGCCAACTTTGTGTGCCTATTGACCTACGTCCACTAGGAGGTCGGCCGTGCACTTTGCTGCTGGAGTCAGGCATGCCAGCACAAGACGTGATTTCAGAAGCCTTCCGTGCCTGCCCGGCTGGTCCACTTTTTGTACCGCCTACGGGAGAAGTCCGAAATCTGTTCCTTGTTGACGCTCAGGGAAATGTCTGGGAAGAGCTGCCCACTGAACTCTCCCAACTCCAGTGGCTGCGCGTCCAAGGCAGGCGCCCATTGGATGTCCTACAGCCACACCAGCCCGAGCCTCAATTCGGTCCCAACATCAGGCTACCGCCAGCAGCAGCCACGTCACTCACTACGACGTGGGTGATGGAGCAACAGAATGTGCAGACGATCTCGTTCATTCTAGCTGGACTGGGCAGCACGGTGCGCCTGCACCCCCAACATGTGAGCCAAGCACGCGTAGCCGATTCAATTGCCGACTTAGTGATGGCAATAGCGAGGCAGCGGGGGCTGCCTCCGAAAGCGCGCGTGGCACTGGTCACGGCTCAGCCAATGCCGCTCATGATCCAGCACATAGCTCTGCTTTTAGTGATTTATCCAGAAGATGGAAGGCGGCACATTATCCTGGATCCCTCCGGCGACGGCTCGATGGCGCAGTCCATCTCGGTTGATGATCAAACCCGTCCAGAGGAATTGCTTGCTGAAGCGCAAAGGAGGCAGGGCTATGAAATCTCCGTCAATGGCATCACACAATCAGCCGTGCGGAGGTGCATTCAGACAGGAGATTATGTACAGGTAATACACAACCCCAGGCGGCACCGTGTCTCTCCCACCGACTGGTACTACCAGATCTTTCCAGATCTGCGGTTGTTTGCCTTTGCAATCGAAATCCCTCGCTTGCAGCGTGCCACGGCAGCGCCACTGGATGCTATGGTGCAGACGCAGATCCGAGATGGTTTCTTGCGTTACTTGCAAACCCGTCTGGCACAACAGCGAGAGACTATGGGCCAGCCGGCTGCAGATACACAGCCGGTGTTCATCCATGGGCCTGGGCATGCGCCCGCACTTCTGTACGTACCGGGCCGGATTCTGCCAGTCTTGGCTGAGGTTGAAGATTCAATTCAGGCCACGGGTCTTTTTCAGCCCCACACTACCTTCGTGGACTCCTGTCAGGTCACACACATGCATGCGCCGCTTTTCTTGTCCATTCCGCCTGACATGCCAGGTTTGGGAGTCTTTGTCCCGGCTCCGGCATTTCTCATGGGCTATCATCTCATGTGGGTCACAGCGGAGATGGACCCTGCGGTTCTGCCTCTTCCGGTGCACAGAAATTTCATCCTGATCTATCCCAGCACACTGGTACAGGCAGCCACTGTGAGGCACAGGCGCATTGCGAGCACCTCGGTTGCTGCACCACGTGAGGCTAGCGATGGGACATCACTGTTGCAACTTCCAGGCTCTTGTGTCAAGCAGCGCAAGATATCCCCCTTGGGCTCCCTGGATGAGACCTCGATTCCACAGGTCATGGCGCGACATGCGTCGATTGCAACTCCGCTAGGCAGGCGACGAGTGCTTGTGACCAATGAATGCAGCCATCAAACGGCTCAGGTGCCATCAACGCCCGCACCTCAACAACATAGTAGCGAGCCATCTTCCCTCAGGTCGCCGGCCGAGGACGAAGAGGGAGCAGCACAGTCTCTTGAGAGTCCTAGAATGGCATTGAGACTGAGCGAGGTCCTTCAACCTGAAGCAGCTGTGCCTAGCAATGCAATGACCCAAATCAGGTTTGGGGTCCACAGGGATATGTTTGATGATGTCTTCGGACCGTTTGATTTGTGCTGCCTGCAAAGAGATTGGAAGGTTGTTCCTGAGCTCTTGCCTGATTCACGACGATTCTTACAGCAGCTACCCTGCCTGCCGTTGACTGCACGGCCCGACGCGCTCCAAATCTACGTTGACGGCTCATACTTCCCACCGAAGCAGGGCGACACTCGCTCTGGTTGGGCCATCTGTGTGTTAGGCAGACATGCGGGCACCTGGTGCTGGGCTGGCTTCATAACAAAAAACGCTGCTAAAGGTAATGCTGGTACCTTACAAGATGAGGTCGCCTCGGCGTTCACTACTGAGCTTGCCGGCATTGTTCATGCTCTGGCCATTTGCCTTGCGGTTCCCGTGGAGGCTTCCATTGGCTACGATTGCCAAGCGGCAGGTGAGGTTGCACAGGGACTCGCGGTTGCGCGGGAACTCACTCGAATGCCAGACACAGCCCTGCAATTGTGCAATCTTTTGTCTTTGCAAGGACGCAGACCCCGGATGTTCCATCTTCGGTCTCATAAGGGCCACCCCTTGAACGAGTTCTGTGATGCAGCCGCCAAAGCTGCAGCCAAAGGCACCCTGCCGGACACGGCACCAGACACCTTGCATGAGGCAGCAGAGCAAAACGTTTTGGACTGGCTGTGGTTGTCGATAGGTGGTCACAAAGATATTCCGGGCCTGACAGAGGGTGGGGTGCTCTGTGATGCAGGCACACTGAGTGATCAAGGCCCAACACTCCAGCAAGCTCTTCCGCCGATGCCTCTTACAACAGCTGAGAGCACTAGGATAAGTTGCAGGGCAGTTACGTACAACTGCCTGTCATGTGCTTCAACCTTTCAGCGCGAAGCCCTTGATGGTCAATTCCACAAGAAAAAATGCTGCCTTGTAGGGTTGCAAGAAACGCGAACTTGTGGACCTCCACGCGGAAGCACGACCCACTTCTTTGTGCTAGCCAGTGAAGCATCAGAAGGACAATTGGGATGTCAGCTTTGGCTCTCCAAGTCAGCACCTCTTGGATGGGTTCATGATGTCCCAATCCTCTGGGACGATAAAGGGCTCAGCATCATCTTCAGCTCCCCGCGAATACTGGCCACCATTGCGAAAGCAGGCAGCCTGAAGTTTGCCATCACAGTTGCGCACGCCCCGACATCCAAAGAAACAGCCACTGTCCGACAAGAGTGGTGGCGCCAACTCTCGGCAGTTCTCCGCATGGCTCCAGCCACATGCACTCCTATCCTTTTGATCGATGGGAACGCGCAGATATGTCAAGAAGAAGCCCCTACTGCATCATCGAATCGCTATCTTTTTGAGCAGATCTTGCAGGAACACCAATTGTGTCACTCCGGTGATCGGGAGCACGACGGTACTCGATTCATCACCTGGACGGGCCCGGATGGACGCACCGCTGCCATTGACTTTGTCTGTGTGCCCATTGACCTCCAGCAGGGTGTCAAGGACGAAGGGCCCTTGCGCAGCTTCCAGGGACTCACCACGCACGATCACTCACCGATCGCTGTCAGTCTCGATTGGACCAGAACTGCACAAGCTGCCATCAAGACTCCCAAGCTCGACTACTCTGTGCTTGCTGCTCCAGACCGAAGAGAGTGGTGGCGGCAG